GACCTAAGACTATATCTATTTACGACGTGTTGCTTGAGTTTTAGCGGAAAGTCCTCATTGTATAATGACTAGTGCGCTAGATTAGCTATATTAAATTCTAAACGCTCTTTGATTGTGAGCCAACCTAGGTTTCTAACATCCTGGAGTCCAGCAAATTTAGTTAACACAAAACCCGCACACGTGTTCTGTACTCTTTGAAGGCGTTTGGTCTGGTACTCTGGGAGAGGACTAAACATACTTGCTATAATCCATTTTAGAGAGTATAAGACTTTCCACCATGATGATCAAGAACCCTATTTGTGTTTAAATAACCATTCATAATCTTCAAAAAGTGAGCTCGTCTCTATTTTTCACAGGCATTTCCATCAATTCTACAATTTTGTCGAACATCGGAAGCTTTATCGGCAACCTTTCGAATTTCCTGGCACCTGCTGTGGGAAACCTTTCAAGATGGCTGCTGTGCCACCGCGCCTCCGCACACGGCTGGGCTGTAACTACCTTCCACTCCAGTTGCGGCCATAAAAGTCACACCGTGACCATCATCAAAAATGACCAGTACGTGTTGGGAGGATACACTGATATTCCTTGGGGTAATGATAACTTTTATTTCACTTTGAATCCATCATGCTTTCTCTTCTTATTCTTTTTGTGTTGCTGTCGTTGCGTTTTGATTTTCATTTGTTCGTTCCTATACTTTTTAGAAAGTCAGACTACTATCTGTAATATGAAATAAGATTTTACACATGCATTGCATTGTTCTGGAAGGAATATAAAAGAACAGGAACAGAACTTCTAAAATTGATTTCTCTGAAAATGTAGAGACATATCTTATACTTTATATAGGAACAATTTACAATGTACTCTGATATTTTCGTTTTGAGTAATTCCAGCAGCACTTTAACCACTTCTGTACCCTAACAGGCCACTGATTTTCATTGTATTCACGCTTATGTTCTTTAGAACCTTTTGAGGCTAATGGCACCACTCCCGATGCGTTCATATTTTCTCTAAGGAACAAAGAAGAACTGCATCCATTTAAGAGCATGGTGTTAAAGTCAGAATATGCTATTTTCAAGAGATCAACATATGGTCCAACATTTGGAAATGGCTGGGACATTCACATTTCGAATAATTCTAACAGCAACAATGAATCATACACCAAGTTTGCCGTTGATGGCTACTACGAGAGACCAGAAAAAGTACAAGATCTAACCACAATCTTGGCTGGGACATTTTACTTCTC